AGCCGATGGGTTATGTGCTAGCAACCTCTAACCCTTCCTGTCACTTCCCCACCCTTCATTTAAAACTAGATGGGAGTGGATATGGGTGGAAAATAGGAGGTTAAAAAACCAGCTCTAACCAGCTAGATAATTATAAGTTAGTATAGGCTTGTTTTCTAGCTTTGGTCGGTTCTTCCTAATGTTGAAGAGTAAGTACAGTTAAATTATGTCTGCAGCGCCTGTTAATATAGTAGAGCTTCTTGTTTTGAGAGGAAAAGGGGGATGTAGTATATTGTGTCCTTCACCAATACTAACTAAACAGCAGTTACCACATATACACAGTAGGGTGCACTGTGGAGCAATAGTTAAGTGCAACTGGCAAAATGTGCTTCATAGAATGAGAGTTGCTTGTTTTGTATTGCGCTTCTCTGCATCTACCGGCATGTCTTAATAAACAGGTTTTCATTCAATCCTTCAGTTGCCACACATATTTGTTAAGCTTCCACTTCTCAAGAACAGAATACCACAGCTACAACCCTTTCTAACAGTTTGGCTAAAAAGGGCAGGTTAAAAATCAGGCGATAGTGTTCAGGGGTGGCTTGATCCAGACCAGGTTTCTTAAGAATGGGAGTGATTGCAGACGTTTTAAGGGCAGTAGAGACATAACCTGAAGCAAGAGATGAGTTGATGAAATGACAGATAGGGTCAGAGATAACTGAGAGACACTTCGTGAGAAGTGGGGTGGGAGCAGGATCAAGCTGGCAGGTAGAAACATTAGATTTGGTGATTAGTTCAGAAATGAGAGCAGGTTCAACTGGAGAAAAAACAGACGGGGGTTTGACAGCTGAGTTAAGAGGGCGTTACTACAGAGAGATGTTGAGAAGGTCGAGGGGAACTATTGGTAGATTTTACAAATTTTGTTTGTGAAAATCTACAGTGGTCAACAGTGCAGGGAGGTGTAGGAGAGGGAGAGTGAAGAAGTTTATTAACAGTAGAGAAGCATATTTTGGGCTTATATCTAGTACCATTAATGACAGAAGAATTGTAAAGTGAACAAGCAGCATTTAAAGCTGGTCTGAGTATGTTAATGCATTAAGAGTAAGACCAGTTTTCTTATGAAGACGCTCTAAGTGCCTGCCTGTGGTTTTCATAACACGGAGTTCAGAGGTAAATCAAGCAGAGGAGTGACCAGAAAGAACCAATCTAGTCTTCAGAGGGGCTGGGTGGTCAAGTGCATCAGAAATGGTGCCATTAGATAAAGATACAATATCATCAGGACAGGAGAAGACTGGAGAAGAGCAGAAAAAGTGTGAGAATCAATGGCCTTGATATTCCCTCTGCAGCTTTAACAGCTTCAACTCTTCTGGGAAGGCTTCCCACAAGGTTTAGGATTATGTTTATGGGAATTTTTGACCATTCTTCCAGAAGCACAATTGTGAGGTCAGACACTGATGTTGGACGAGAAGGCCTGGCTCGCAGTTACTGTTAAATACGAGTGCCACAGGCATGACTAAGAAGTCTGCAGCAGAGCGGCTAGGCTAACCATGCTAGCTGAAGTTAGGAAAGATATTTCTCTTTGTGGTTAATTAACTCAAACATTCATGGAAGCTGCCACTGAAAAGCTGTATTTGAATAAGAGGGTCACAATCACAGAGTCAACGTCAACACGTTTGACGTTTCTATTTTGATGGAACCTTTGGCCCTTTGGCTCTGTAGGCAGCTGCCTACATTTGCCTAATGACCAGGGTGCACCAGCTGGACATGAGTTTAAACATATGCTAGTTGTAACATAAATGTTTACTAAGTTCAGGTTTACTAAGTTCACAAGCTAGTTTTAATGTTGAGCTTAGTGGTGGCTAGATATGTACACCTCCCCCTGAGCTGGCGTAATGTTCATCGCTTCATCTCTCTGCTCTCTCACTCTAGACCAACTTAATGCAGATGAGCTGAGCAGCGTCCAATCAGACTGTTGATGTGTGATGCAGTAACTGATTGTGCTGCGTCCACAGTCACACCCTGAGACTCAGCACTGAAACACACACACAGAGGAGACATAACAGTTCATATAAGCCTCATTATTACACTAGATGACTGTTTTAAAGAGGTTTAAAAATAAGTTTAAGCTGCTTTGGGCTCAGAACTGATCTAGAACTCTTTTCCTCTTTGCACCTCAACCTGCGACGCAGCTTCAAAGAAGCCAACAGTTTTCGTCTCACTGTAATAAAAACACTGCATTCACTTGAGCAGTGCATGATGCAGAGCTCCTGAAGTGACATGGTGGATTTTTTTAGGTAAAAATCTGGTGCACAACATATACTACGTGGTGAGCACCTAATACTATCAGGTGTGCACCAGATACTAGGTGGAGAGCACCCAATACTATGTGGTGAGCACCCAATACCATCATGTGTGCACCAGAAACTATGTGATGAGCACATGATACTGTGTGCTGAGCACCTTATACTATCCAGTTTGCAAAAGATACTGAGGGGAGCATTCAATACTATGTTGTGAGCACCCAAAACTATCAGGTGTGCACCAAATACTATGAGGTGAGCACCTAATACTATCAGGTGTGCACCAGATACTGTGGAAAGCACCCGATACTATATATTGAGCACCTGACATTATCAGGTGTGCACCAGATACTGAAGTGGGCACCAGGTACTATGAGGTGAGCAACCAATACTATCAGGTGTGCACCAGATACTATGGAAAGCACCCGATACTATATATTGGGCACTTGATAATATCAGGTGTGCACCAGATACTGAGGTGGGCACCAGGTACCATGAGGTGAGCACCCAATACTATCAGGTGTGCACCAGGTATGATATCGAAAGCACTCAATACTATATATTGAGCACCTGATACTATCAGATGTGCACCAGATACTATGTGGAGAGCACCCAATACTATCAGGTGTGCACCAGATACAGAAGTGAACATCTGATACTATCAGGTGTGCATCAGATACAGAGGTGAGCATCTGATTCGATCAGGTGTGCACCCGATACTATGAGAACATCTGACCTAGTGATGTTGATCAGCTAGAGTAAACATTTCCATTCGCTTTTTTTGTTTGAGAATGTAAAGTTCTGGATTTTTAGTTTCTGTTTCTTCATTTGTTTGTTTGACTGCTTTAACTCAGCTCACATAAACACTCTCAGTGAAACAGTGCAAAGCAGAACTTTAGATGAACAAAGTCAGTATTTCTTATCACTTTAAACCTCAGATGCGTCAAATCAACTTCTGTTCCACTGTTTACTGTGTTGTTTACATGATCAGCCAAATAATAATAAACTGATTATGAAAAGAATCAAAACTCCAGAGTAAATCATCTTCACTGCTTCACAGATCTGAATAAAACAGTGGATCTACATTAATGTGATCAGCTGTTAGTGTTTCTGAGGTCGCTGTGCTGCTGGGTTTGGATCAGCTGACCATCATAGAGCTCACAGACATTAGATACTGACCTTTAAAGCAGTGTTCTACTGGCCTCTAGTGGTCAGAGATGTGAACTGCAGTTAGTGAGTGTTCTCTGCAGTAGAGCAGTGCTGTCCTGAGAGGAATCTCTTTGTGTGTGTGTGTGTGTGTGTGTGTGTGTGTGTGTGTGTGTGTGTGTGTGATTGTAAATCATCTTTAGAGGAGTTGATGTCCAGCCATTCTTCAGTGTTGCTGTTTTCTAGAGCCAGAAGACCTCAAAGTCATTTTCTACATGTCTAAACTTCACTGTTAGATCTTCAGTCTCATCTCGATGGTGGACAAAAGCTTTTGACCCTTCATGCAGTTTAATAACTCTGAGCCCAAAGTAAATGCAGCTCTCTTTATTTTTCCAGTTTAAACCAGTTTTCTTACAGGGGGAGTTACTGATGGAGGAAATCAACCATTTTCATTGTTCTTCAGTACAGCAGTTCATGGGGGGCTGGTGGGCTGTTGGTTTCATCAGCAGAAGGTGCTCAGAGTGAATGGTTGAGTCTCTGGAGTTGCACCAATCAACCGTTTCCTGAATATGAACTCTGTTACCAACAGTGTTCCAGTACCAGCAGGGTTCACATGATTTTCTGTGTGTTTTTAGGTTAAATTACACAGTAAAGACTAAAAAGCTGAATGTTGTCTTAATTTCTACGACTAGTAAAAGATTCTTTACAGCTCTACAAGACGTCTTGAATATGAGCACAAAATAAACTTTTGTAGGAGGGTTTGGGGGTTTAGGGTGTGGCGGTTGGGGGTTTGGGGATTTAGGGGGTTTGAGATTGGGGGGTTGGGGCTTAGTGTTGGTGAGTTTGGGGATTTGGGGGTTTGAGGGTTTGGTTTTTGGAGGGTTGGAAGTTGTCAGGCAGGAAGTTATTGGCCTGTTTTTGATTTTGGACCAAAATATTAGGCCAGATTTAAGCTTTATTCAGGATCAGTCCGGGGTTCAAAAACAGCTGCCAAACATACTGAACTCTCAGTGAAAATAATAACAGAAACAGTCTTTGTTTACAGTCAAAAGTCGACACATTAAGCTTAAACTCACATTCACTCTACACAGGACTGATCTTGTATATAAAGTGGACGCTGGCCTGTGCAGCGGTCAGCTAAACATGCTGTGTTTGGGCCGGAGAGGAAGACGACATTCAAAAGAGAAGAGAAACCTTTTAGCCTCTGTGGGTTAAATCAGTAGATGCGCTAATGCTAATGCTAACAGTAACAGAATAACTGACTTTGCTTAGTGAGAAGCCACTGGCCTGCCAGTTTATTAGGTACACCTTCAGTCTCCTACTGCTCATTTTATCTTCTGCACTAAATAAACGCTGAACCTACATACCAGGTTAGAAACTTTGCTGGACTAAACACGGAGACTAAACTACAGTAAAGAGGAATAAACGATGAACAGAGACAGATACAAATACTAATAAACACAAACACACACACACACACCCTCACACACACACACACACACACACACACACACACACACACACACACACATTCACACACACACACACACACAGGAAAGAGCCAGACAGAATCCCAGATCAATGCAGTTTGCTGAGTTTATTTATTGGTAATGATCAGTGATCAGAGACCAATGAGAGCAGGAAGAAGAGCAGAAGAGTGACTCTCTCTCAGTGAGTGAGCGACAGAGTTTAAGCACAGCAGGATTTCACACACAGTGATCATCCATCAGATTGTGAACTTTAGTTCAGGCATTGTTCAGCTGCTTCATCTTCACTGAAGCAAAGCTGACACATGTAACAAATACTGTTATCATTATCATTATAATTATGATTATTATTATTATTATTATATTTACTATAACAAGAACAGCGGTAGAGAAACTTTTCATCTTTTCCTTCTATTTTTTTAAGGTTTTTCTCCAGATCAGTGTTGTTTTGATCGTAATGAAATATCTTGTTGTAGACAAAAGCCTTGGGACCTTGGTGATCTCTAAGCATGTTGAGGGCAGTGAGAATGTTACGTTCTTTATTTTTCTCGTTTAAGCAGGTACGAATACAGGGGGAGTTGTAGGTGTAGAAGATCACACAGCCCTGTGGGTCTCTGTTCAGGAGCTTCTGCATGAGTGGATCATTGGGATTAGGATCTGTTGCTAATGGAGTTGATTTAATCAGCAGGAGGTACTCAGAGTGGAAGTTGGGATGTTTCCTTGTTTTGCGGTTAACAGGGCTCTTGGTATCTGGTAATGGTGTTGCACCAATCAGCTGAGTCCCACTGTATACCTTGCTAGGACCTTTCATGACATCTTTCACATTATCGGGCAAATCATTCATCAGGACACTCTTAAAGTCGTCTAGGTTGAATGTCTTAGTGCAGAATTTAGCTGGGATGTTGATGGCCACTGCATACTGGTCACCTGGACTGTATCTAAACACACAAAGAACTGGTCAAACACTTTTTTATTCACTGATACTGATTAATCAGAACTTCTTAATCTTAGAACATTTTACATGATGATTATTTTATATAAACTCTGATTTAATCAAACGCTCAACTTCACCACAAACTCCTTTAATACTACTTCAGTTTGACTCAGCATGGACGGTCAGATTACTTACTGGGACTGAATGTATCTGATGATGAGAGCCAGATTGTTCTGGTTTACCCGCTTAACTTCAGTTCCTCTCAGACAGAGAGAGAGAAGACAGAGCAGGACCACTCTCAGAGTCCCACTGAGAACCTGTACACACACACACACACACACACACACACACACACCACACACACACCACACACCACACACACACACACACACACACACACAGTATGTATCATTAGTATTATTAGTATTAATAGTGTGGAGAATGTACCTGCACCTCATTCACTAATGAACTCAGCTCATTATAGTATATATTATTAGTATTATTAGTATTAATAGCGTGGAGACTGTACCTGCGCCTCATTCACTAATGAACTCAGCTCATTATAGTATATATTATTAGTATTATTAGTATTAATAGCGTGGAGGCTGTACCTGCGCCTCATTCACTAATGAACTCAGCTCATTATAGTATATATTATTAGTATTATTAGTATTAATAGCGTGGAGGCTGTACCTGCGCCTCATTCACTAATGAACTCAGCTCATTATAGTATATATTATTAGTATTATTAGTATTAATAGCGTGGAGGCTGTACCTGCGCCTCATTCACTAATGAACTCAGCTCATTATAGTATATATTATTAGTATTATTAGTATAATAGTGGGAGGCTGTACCTGCACCTCATTCGCTAATGAACTCAGCTCATTATAGTATATATTATTAGTATTATTAGTATTAATAGCGTGGGGGCTGTACCTGCGCATCATTCGCTAATGAACTCAGCTCATTATAGCATATATTATTAGTATTATTAGTATTAATAGCGTGGAGGCTGTACCTGCGCCTCATTCACTAATGAACTCAGCTCATTATAGTATATATTATTAGTATTATTAGTATTAATAGTGTGGAGGCTGTACCTGCACCTCATTCACTAATGAACTCAGCTCATTATAGTATATATTATTAGTATTATTAGTATTAATAGTGTGGAGACTGTACCTGTGCCTCATTCACTAATGAACTCAGCTCATTATAGTATATATTATTAGTATTATTAGTATTAATAGTGTGATCAGAGGCTGTTTCTTACCATGGCTGCAGAAGTCTGAGTGCAGATGATGAACAGCTGAAAGTGCTGCAGAGGAGTACCTGATGCTGATTTATATAGATTATGACTCCGCCCTCTTTGAGAAGATTATCTTTCTCTGTTAGCTGATTGGTTGAGATGTCTATAGCCAGTTTCAGGCTGTCCTTAAAATCCTCATCCAGAAACATAACGTTTGTGTATAATGTAGTAAAATATTACATTATATGAGTTTTGTCCATGCGGCTTTTATTAGTATTGAGCGTGAACATTATAAATGAAGCAGTGTTTTTTTTTTCCAGAATAATAAGGGAACAGAATTGTAATGCAATATAGTAGAATTACACAGAATTATAATGGAGTAATATGAAACAATGACCCTTATCCTTCAGTAAACACAGTCATTTCTATATTTACAGCATTGCTGGATCAGCCACTTTTACTGCTGTTCATCTGATTTTCTGAAGTTGTTTCTTCAGCATATTTGGGGAAACTTTCATGCTACAATAGTTTAAAGATGTATATTATTAATGTAATAGAGCTTGTTTCATCCTGTTTAGTTTGACTATGCTGAAGAATCATTAGAGTCTAATTAGAAGTTTGTGTGAAGAAAAAAAGTTTAGAAAAAGTTTAGAAAAAGATCAACAGGTGATCTTTGTGTGTTGTTACATTATGTGCTGACATTATTACATTATTCTTTTAAAGAATGCTTCTTAAGTCTTGACACTGAAAACCTGAAAAATCAGGACCTGAAAAAGATCAGATTGTCCATTTCGGTTCAATCACAGAAACCAAAATTTGCTATTATGTTCAAAACCAAAATAAAGCGCCGAGAAACGTCTTCATCTCTGGCTGGCTAACTGTTCGCATTGTGCCTGTAGCTGCACTCTTTCAAACTGATGACATTTATTTATTGCTACTGCCTCTGTCAATATTTATAATGGTCATGTATTTTTTAAGAAATCTGGTTCTTTGATTCTTGATTAATTTTTCTACTTTTTTTTGTTTGACCTACAGTGACTTTACTGGCCCAGTGTGAACTTCTGCCTGAGTACAGGCCTGCAGACCACTAGGGGGTGCCCAGTGGATGAAAAACCCTGATGCTCTATATTACATACATAAATGTAATTATGTTATTACATGGGGGTTTTGTTACAGTATGAGGAGTTTTTACATTTTGAGTTTTTGTAACATTTGTGTTATTACATTATCCATAGCAATTACATCATGTGCAGTTATTACATCAGGAGCTGCTACAATATTTTTAGTGATCTTAAAGCCAACTTAAACTGAATTTGACTTAGAGACTAATTTTAAGACAGTTAATAACTTTTAATACAATAGTAGTGAACTGCTGACATACTAGACATGCAGTAATTACATACTATAGATATGGTTGTTACATAGTAGTGGCATATTTGTGGCATGATAGTGATGTGGTAATGACATTTTTGTTCTGGTAGTGATGTGTTAGTGACATAGTGAAGTGCTAATGACAAAGTAGTGACATTGTACTGATGTAGTAACATAGTATTGATGTGTTATTGACACAGTAGTGACATGATAGTGATGTACTAGTGCCATAGTAGCGATGTAGTGACATGGTAGTTGTAATGACATAATGACAATGTGTGGTAATGACATAGTATTGCCATTGAAGTCATGTAATAACGACATAAAAGTGACATGGTACTGAGGTTGTAATGACATAATAATTATGGTACTGATGTGGTCGTGACATAAAAGTAACATGGTAGTGATGTGGTAATGACATGATAGTGACTTGCTAATCATATAGTACTGACGTAGTGATGATGTGACATGGTATTGACTTGGTACTGGCATAGTAGTGACATGCTGGTTATATGGAAGTGATGTTGTAATGACATTGTATTGACATGGTGGTGGTGTACTATTGATGGGGCAGTGGTGTGGCAATCACAGAAGTGCCATGGTAGTAATGTGGCATTGACATGATAGTGATGTGTTGATAACATAACAGTGACATGGTAGTAATGTGGTAGTGACAGTTGTGGCATGATATTGATGTGGTAATGACATGGTAGTGATGTTGTATTGACATGGTGGTGTAGTCTTGATGTAGTGATGCGGTAATGACAGTGTCTTGGTAGTGATGAGGTAGTAGCATATATTGATGTGGTCATGACATCGTAGTGACACAGTAGTAATGTGGTAATGACATGGTAGTGGCATGGTAGTGATATAGTGACATGGTTGTGATGTGGAAAGACATAGCAGTGACATGGTAGTTATGTGGTAATGACATAGCAGTGGCATGGTCGTGGTGTAGTATTGGTGTGTAATGATATTGTAATAACATAGTAGTGACATGGTAGTGATGTGGTAATGATACAGTAGTGAAAAGTTGGTAATGACATATCCTCATGGTAGTGATATGGTAATAACAGCCTCATGGTAGTGATATGGTAATGACAGCCTCATGGTAGTGATGTGGCATTAACATGTTAGTGAAGGTAATGACATAGTAGCCTAATGGTAGTGATGTGGTAGTAACATAGTAGTGATGTAATGACAGTAGCCTCATAGTAGTGATGTATATTGACATGGTGTTAATGACTGTAGCTTCATGGTAGTGATGTGGTACTGACAGGATAGTGGCGTGGAAGTCATGTGGACGGGACAAAGTAGTGACATGGTAGTGATTTGATACCATGTGGTAATGACATGGAGGTATGACATTATTAATCTTTTCACAAACTTCACAAAAATCTTACATATTATCTCTGACAATATCACTTTATACCATCTGATTCTAATAAATGTGAAGAATGACAAAATAACATTATACTAATACACAGAGTGAATACTTACCATGTCTTTAGGGCCTAGCTTATAACAACGAGAAAGTAAATCATGATTATGAGATAATGAGTCATATTTAGGAGAACGTTTATGTGGCCCTGTTGTTCAAGTGGTGGAAACAGGTTTCTATTTGTTCTTACTTAATCTACATATAGCTTACAGCAGACCCAGCCTTGATTAGCCAGACGAATTATAGCGGTACAGATTATGTAAACATACATGCTCATCAGCTTCAGTTTTTACTCATGAAAATAAGTGTATACCAGTTCTAACAGCATATTTTCTCTTATGTAATTACACACATGTGATACAGTGAAGGTAATTACATTTGTATGAGCTGCAGTTTGCACTTCCTGATTGAAGCAAAATAGTGCTTAAATATAGACAGTTAGAAATACACAAGCAGTTTTTATTGAATAAAACCTTTACCTGTTTAATAGACCCAAAGGAGTGATTTAAGAAAACGAGTGAGTAATATATGGGCCCTATGATGGTGCTGTAGAGAAATGAAGATGAAGAAGTTGAGGGTTGTGGGGAGGAAATGAAGACCTTTACCGTGGTTGTGTCCACAGCTCTCACTGCTCGGCCTCTTCCTGTCTTTTAACCAGCAACAAACCCATAACATTGAGCTCTGACACACAGAGACCCACTTCAACCCTTAGAAGTCACAGTTATCTCCAGTGATATCTAAGTCATATTGTAGTTTCATATGAATTACTTAATAATTCATTATCCTTCTACTTTCAGTCCATACCACATTACTGTCTGTAAGTAGAAGAGATACTTTATTATGATTTGAATATGATGAAACATTATTTCTGTGTCTATAGTCCTGTTTCATAGAAACAAAAAGCAATCTTTAAAATTCTTCCCACATTTTCATCATTTTTAATGTTAAAACAAACGGAAAAAGTCAGAAGTGCAGCTCGGACCAGTCCATACAAAATATAAATCAATCTCCTTTTAACGTTGTTAACTCATATTCTTATATTGATACTTTAACCCATCTATAATCCCACCTTGAAGAGCAGAGCAGAAGAGCACAAAGCTATTCATTACGTAGCAACCAGTCCTTAGCAGAATAACACAGTTATCCAGAAAAGCTCACTGTTATTTGAGAGGGTATATTGCATCTCAACCAATCAGATTGTGCTGTAGGAACCAACCACTGTATACTGGCATTAGTGCTGTTTGTCTGGTTATTTTTCATAATAATTACATTGTGCAACATGGCGCTGTTTTAAAATCGATCACTCCTGTTTCATTAGCGAGATTTACAGCTCTGTGGTGATACGAGCATTTATGAAAGTTTAGAGGTGCTGAGGGAAACTTCTTTAGTGGGGAACCCAAGCCGACCTACAAGCTAATAGTTGGTGCTGTCAAAAGTTGGCGTGAGATTCTCACAAATTCTCAGTTTCCCATGTGAAACTATAAATGTTTGAATTTCGAACGCTTATTCTACAGTAGTTACACCTCTGCATTGACCAAAAGGAGTGCAAGGCAGGTGTACCTAATAAACTGACAGCTCAGTCCCTTCTCACTCAGTTTAGTGTCTAATTTTACTTTGCTAACGACTAAAACATATAACATATAAACAAGAACATATAAACGAGAAGTCTGAGTGCAGGTGATGAAGAGCTGAAACTGCAGCAGAGGAGTACCTGATGCTGATTTATATAGATAATGACTCTGCCCTCTTTGAGAAGAAGATTATAATTCTCTGTTAGCTGATTGGATGAGATGTCTGTAGCCAGTTTCAGGCTGTCAGACAGCTGGAATATACTTAGAAGAAGCTGCCTGGACATTAAAACTGCTTATAATATAATAATATAGGTGTTGTAAAGACGTAAAATATATTATCTGCTGATGATGTCATAAAATCAGCTGTGTAGTTACCAGAAAAAAAATGAATGCAATATATTAACTACTGGTGATGTATTCAGTGTTCCAGATAGATTTGTTTACTCATGAAATCACACAAGTGTATCTTGATAGTGGTATCAGCATCTTTTCTGTAGTACAATTACTTAAGTTTATATGTGTGTGTTTACATAAACTGTAACATCACTAGTAGTTACATTGTTGTTGCATGTATTGTTAATATGTTTCTACATATTTATTAGGAAAATATCACGCGGGACCTTAAAATCCTCATCCAGTAACATGTGTTTGTGCACAATGTGGTAAAATATATT